AAAATTCACCCTTGAAGATAAGTGAATCAAAGGGACAGCAGTCAAACAAACGCTAACGTCGGGAGGAAATCCTGTCTGCAGACCTCTCCTGCAGAACAAAGGCTTCTTCTGTGACATCAAGCAGCAGGTTTAAGAGCGCCCTGGCTTCTCGCTTTGGCCACCTTTCAAAACCACAAGTACATCCAAGGGCAGCCAAGACAACAACAAAAGCCAAGAGATACAGTCTCCAAATGAGGAGAGACCAACTCTCCCTTCCAGGCTTGCCTTCTGCCTGGCTCTTGGTGGCCAAGACTCCGTTTCCCCAAGGTGGGTGTACAAGGTGCCCTGGGTTCAGACTCTGGGGACTGCAAGCTTTCCCTGCAAGAGGACAGCTCAGAAGATGCCTGCAGCCGAGGTCAACCTTCTTGGGAGGCTGTGGAACAGAGTGTCTGGGGAAGGCCCCACAGTACTCTCTGGGTTCTCATCCTAGCTCAGTCCCACTAGGGTCTGATCTCAGGTGCCTCAACAACCCTGAACCACTTTATCGGACTGTGAATAAGAGCAACAGTACGGCTGCTACTCATGATAAAATCTGCCATGTCCCTCGCACAGGCTTAGGATGTTCACACAGGGTAATTTATGAACATATCCTTGACAATATTTTGAAAACTATAAAATGTAAGAGAGAGTAATTTTTGTGCCTAGGACTCATGTTTATAAGACAGCTTGGTAATACAAATTTTTAGGTCAAAGGGGAGACTTCCTCTGCTTTGCCTGGGGTCTTCCACAGGATGGATATTCAATTAATATGCAATTATAATAAGGGTGACTTTTTAATGATTAATGAGCTAAATATTTGTTAGGAAAACAGCAAACTTGCAATTTATAGAGTATTTTACAAGACAGAAAGGTGTTGTCTGGTGGGTTTCCCTCTGAGTGTAGGTGGGGTATACAAGAAAAGTGGGTCTGGGCTTTCCCAGATGGCCCCACTATCATCATGCCAACACCAAATAGGACAAAAATGGAAGGCTTTCAGGCTTGACATCCGGGCAAGTCACTGTCAGCTGAAATTAACCTTTGAATTCACTATGAAAAGTAGCAAATAAGGCCAAAAAGTTTACCTCAAACAAGCCAAAAAAAAAAAAAAAAATCAATAATCTTGTTAAAAGTAGACCTAACTAGTCTCACTCCCTGGGGTCAAAGATCCAAAACTCTTAACTTTTAAAAGCTCCCAGCATGGGGCGCCTGGGTGGCTCTGTCAGTTAAGCATCTGCCTTCTGCTCAGGCCAGGATCCCAGAGTCCTGGGATCAAGCTCCTTGTGGGGCTCCCTGCTCAGTGGGGAGTCTCTTCTCCCTCTCCCTCTGCCCTACCCACCCCCCCGCTTGTGCTCTAATAAAATCTTTAAAAAATAAAAATTAAAAGCTCCCAGCTTCCAGTGGTGAGTGAGTGAGCAAGAGCAGAGGGTGGCTCGTGTTTTCATAGCAACTGAGCTGTAAGAGCGGAGTTAGGATTAGAAATGCTCCTTCTCCCTGATAGCAGTTCTTTTGAGGTGCCTTCGGCAGCCCTCCCTCTCCGGAGCCCCAGGTTCTCATTCATACCTTTTGTCCCTTACTTTTCACACACACAAGCTTTATGCGTTGATCCTGTGGCTTGTTCCAAAAAGGAACTGAGGCAAATAATCTTACTAGGAATATTTAAAAGGATGAAAATAATGATTCAGGTACTCTGAACTCCTCAAAATTGGGAACACCTCAAGATAGTTTTTAAAGTGTATTACATAGGGCGCCTGGGAGACTCAGTCGTTAAGCGTCTGCCTTTGGCTAAGGTCATGATCCCAGGGTCCTGGGATCGAGCCCCACATCACATCAGGCTCTCTGCTCGGCGGAAAGCCTGCTTCTCCCTCTCCTACTCCCCCTGCTTGTGTTCCTTCTCTCGCTATGTCTCTGTCAAATAAATAAATAAAATCTTTAAAAAAAAAATAAAGTGTATTCCATGAACAAATTATAGGGGCATCTGGCTGGCTCAGTCGATAGAGCATGCAACTCTTTAGGGCCGTAAGTTTGAGCCCCATGTTGGGGGTATAAATAAGTAAATAAGTAAAATAAATAAAATTACTCAAAAAAAAAAAAGGTAAATAAATAAACTTTAAAAATAACAAAACCTATTAATAAGACCAGGGAGCAGAATGGGATTTTAGGATCCTTTGACATGACCTTCTCACTCAGCATAATCCTGAAGGATATGCGTTTGTTACTTCCTGTATTCGTCTTTAACAATGAGATATTTTAAGTTAAGGGAAAAAGTTGTGAATTTGGATGAATGTAGTTCTGAATGATAAACAAACGTAATCCAGTGGTGCTTGTTAAATCTTCCACAGCCTGGACTTCAAACTCAGGACTTGCGCCCACCTCCTGATAAGATCTTCCGCAGAGATCTGACCTCTGATCAAGTCATTTTCAAATCAAAAAGCTTTGAACTCCTGGCAGGTTGACGGCTTGGATCTTGGGTGTTTATCAAGAGCTTCCTCAAGATTGAAAGGGTGACTCCATTGCCAGCCCCGGCTCCCCAGAGCTTCCCCCTCGTGAGAGCTGGCACCCAGCCAGGACCTTAGAACTTCAAGGAATGGGTTTATGCATCACCTCCATAGGGCACATAGTAGACACGTAGCTCATTACAGAGCTTAACTTACTAAATAAAAAGTGGCTACAGTAAGTCACGGAATCACTGGCTCTGACTCCACCTTGCACAGCCTGGAATGAGTGCTTGTTTTTGGCTGTCCAGAAGCTCTTTCTCTTTGCTGCCTCTTGACCTTCACAAGAGGGAATGATGACCGTGCCCCTTCTCATCCCTACCTGTTTAATGCCAGTGACTCAATATGAACAATACTGTGCACAGGTATGCACCTCCACACTGACCTGGGCCCCCAGCAGGCTGGCTGCAAGCTCTCCACACTGGGGGGTCACCCACCTACACTTTGCAGAGCAGGTGCAGGGCTTTCTAACACCCAAGACACCCTGGGGAACCTTCTGAGCTGACGTCAGAAACATTTCAGGGCTCTCCGATGCTTTCTACAGAGAATATGTGGGCCTCCACTTATTTTCTTCTTGTACGACTACAATTATGCACCTAAAACGAATTCTGACCTCCTACCCTCCTAGCTCTCTCCCAACATCTGTACTGTCCGCCTCTCAACTTGCTACACTGCAGCCACAGGCCACACCAGCTTCGTTTGGGGTTTTTTCAAACACGCCAGACTTGTTCCCAACCCCAGTTCTTTGCACTGCTCTCCCTATGCCTGGAACAACCTTCCTCTGGTTCTTCCCATGGCTGCCTTCTCTCATTAATGCAGGTCTTAGCTCAAATATCATCTCCTCAGAGACCTGTGCACGTTATAAAAAAGATACAAGCCTAATAAACCTTCAGTCTGTCAAAATTTCCTCTATAGCACTTAATATAATCTGCAATTAACTTGTTCATTACCTGGGCCCTTCACTAGAATATTAGCTCTGGGAAGACACCATGTCAGATGCCCCATTGCTATTCTGTTAGTTCACATACTTCCTCATCCTATAAAAGGGCAAGAGCAGATTGCTGGAACGATTTGGTTGCCAGAACATCTTCAAGGTCGGGCCAGCCCTTAGTTCAGATACTAAGAGGGACTGGGCAGAATTTTCTTGGTGAAGCACCGGTGTTTACAAAATCAGTGTAAGTGCTCAATATATAGATATTGAACAAAGAAATGAGCTAGCGTCCAAGTGGCTTTCTTTGCTGCAGGGCTGGACAAAAAGAGACACCAGGAGATACAACAGAAGGAACCAGCCCCTTCTTGGCCAGATAACATCACAGACTGCTGATCTTCCCCAGCAGGAAAGGGAAGTCAGTTTCTAAACCAGCTCTAACAAGCAGAAACTAATCACAGCCAGGCCCAATACAAACCCGGACAAGAAGCTTTTATAACCATAAGGCTTATTTACCCAGATCCCTTGTGGGTAGGAGGAATCAATCCTTGTTCTAAAGTATTCTGAAGCTGACCCGATGATGTAGCCATACCAAATTTTACTTCAGCATGTTGGAGAAGCAGCTCCTAATTTATAGCCATCTTGGCATCTCTACAGAATTGGGTGGACATAGTTCAGAATCTGATGTTATAATAATAATAAAAAAAATGCCCTTGTGCTTCCTTTTGAGGGACTTAGTGATATTATGGGAAGTTGGCTGTAAAAATACTCTCAAATACTAGATACTAAGAAATGGTTAAAGTTTTTAGGTGTTACAGTTTTTTATGTTATATTTTTTAAAAATAAGAGTACTTATCTTTGAAAGACACATACCAAAATATTTACAGAGAAAACAGGGGCTGAAATTTACTTCAAAATAATTGCAGAGGAAGGAAAGTGGGCGGGAGTACAGACAACACGGGACTGGGACTGGCCCAGGCCCAGAGCGGCTGAAGTGGGGTGGTGGGTCTTTGGGAGTCAAACTATTTGCTCTACTCTGTACAGCTGACATATTCCCTAACAGAAAGGCTTTTTTTTTTTTTAAAGATTTTATTTATTTATTTAACAGAGAGAGAGACAGCTAAAGAGGGAACACAAGCAGGGGGAGTGGGAGAGGGAGAAGCAGGCTTCCCGCCAAGCAGGAGCCCAATGCGGGGCTCGATCCCAGGACCCTGGGATCCTGACCTGAGCCAAAGGCAGACACTCAATGACTGAGCCACCCAGGTGCCTCCAGAAAGGCTTTTTTAAAAAGCCCTTTAAGCCAAGTCATTTTCACTTGTGGAAATAAAGAAGTTACCTGAAGGGGCACCTGGGTGGCTCAGTCTGTTGAGTGTCTGACTCGTGATTTCGGCTCAGGTCATGATCTCAGGGTTGTGAGATGGAGCCCCACACTGGACTCCACGCTGGGTGTGAAGCCTGCTTAGGATTCTCGCTCTCCCTCTGCACCCACCCCATCCCCTCCCCACAGGGTCTCTAAAAAATAAATGAATAAATAAATAACAATAAATAAATAAAGAAGTTACCTGAAGGTGAAGGTTTCCCCTTTCCAGTCTTGCAGGGGGTGCTCCTGGATGATGGCCGGGGTCAGAGGGGAGTTCTGCCGTGGGGACTTGGAATGGGGCAGAGTCCCCATGTGACTGAAGTTATCACAGGACCTGATGGGAGGAGGGCCTTTTTTCTTCCGTGGGAGGGTACCATGTATAGACACGTCTTGATAGGCATCTGTGTGATGCTCAGCCGGAGGGGACTTGCTGCTCAGAAGGTCCATGGACGAGGCTAGAGGGAACTGGTGATTCACCGGCATGTTTCTGGGAAGGCTCACAAATTTTCCCGCAGCCATGATTCTCAACTCCTCTAAGGGGAAAAGAAAGAGCGAAGGCATGAATCTTAGACCATCATAAGAACTGACTTCCTACTCACAAAAGGAAATGGAAATGTACAGTTTAACAAAAGAACAGGTTCGTGGAGCATTAACAGACAAACAGTGCATGGCATCACTGGTGAAATTTAATACAAATGGGAAGTTTATTCATGTCCCTTTTTTGATCCTACAGAGGAATTCTCCTGGGTTAGCAACAAATCCCCGGATGGAAAAGGGCAACCATGTTTCAGAGACTCCAGAGGCACATGAACCATTTTATTATTTCAGAGGATGCTAGCATGGCAGATGCACTGAAACTGATGGAAAAGCATGACTAACAAAAAAGACTATTGAGGAAGTACTCAAGGTTTCGATATAAGTGCATTAGAGAACACAGTATAAATGTTAATTAGCCCATGTCTTTCCACCACCGTGTACGTGATAAGAACAGGTGGAGATTACTGGAATTCCTCAGCTGCTAGAAGGCCTCCAGTGCCAGACCAACCCCTCAGTTGTGCTACCCAGGGCAACGGGGCAGAATTTTTCCGGCAAAGACCTGGTGCTTACAAATAAATCAATGTACTCTAATTAACGAAGACAGGCCAGGGTCAGGGGTGAGGAGGTAGGTCACTCCTCCATACATCAGTGGACTCAGCTGCAGAGGAAAGCCACTGGGGTGAGGGATCCACGTACACTGTCCCCCAGAGGGGTCGGGAACCCGCCTGCCACCAGCAGGGTTAAGCAACACGCGTGGTGCCTGTGTAGTCAGGGAAGAGTGGGAAGGAAGAGAAATAAGACAAAAAGGGGGTAGAGGGGAGAGCATGGAAAGAAAAGGAAAATGTGTACTAGGTCATATGCAAAAGCAGACCCAACAATTATGCCCAGTTATGATCACTAGCAGAAACGTTCGCCCCGAGCAAGAGACAGCACCCACTCACCTCCCTCCAATAAACAAACTATGGTTTTGACCTAAGCCAAATTATGTAAGTCATTTTTAAGGCCACCGTGTAGAGAAGAAACACACGCCTGAATAAAAATTAGAACTAGTCGCTGGAGACATTAAGGATCCAGAATCTGTCCCACCCGCCAGGGTACCAGACTGGTCTGGACAACACAGCAGCACAACTCCGCCTGCCTGATGCACTGGCCTCCCCCAGATTGGGGAGCAGAACATTCCTTTGCTCTGCAGTCTGTTCCAAAGCCCCGCAGCCCCCATTTCTCACAGGCCACCCTTTCCACTGCAAAGACGACGGCTCAGAGTGAAAATCATCACTTAATAGTACCCCTGCAGAGTCAGTTCCACAAAGGAACTGGGGCCTTGGGACACCGCTTGAAGACAAGCAAGAACACTGCTCCAGAAGCTCACGGGTAGCATGCAGATCCGAGATAAAGGTAGCGCAAGGGAAACAACAGACAACAAAAACATCCACAATCCGTCCTTCACCTGCAACAGACAGAAACACACAAGCGCTGGGGGCTGGAGGGAAGGAAATCCTTCACTCAAGGTATATAATCCTAAGGCTGTCCTCAGTTCTTTCCCAAACCTGGTCATTCTGGGGCCTGTCTGCTCCACATCTGTGACCACACAGAAGGCCTGGCTCACGGAGGGCACGGAACAATAGGACTGTGTGAGTCCCCATGTGGGCCGCTCCCGGGTCTGGCCAGTACCGGGCACACGGTCAGCACTTACTCAATGTTAGTCATCATTATCTAAAAAGAAATCCAAGTTGCCTGGCCCTCCCCGCCTGACCACCAGTGATGTAAGCCGACTAGGATTCCCTTACCCTGCACACACAAACACGCACACACGCACACGCGCGCGCGCACACACACACCCTACCCCCCACAGCTGTGAATGCTTGCCTGTCCAAACTGTCAGCACCCTCTTCAGAGGGAGGCCTAGATCATTCCAAAGAACCTGCTGGGGAGGCCCAGGGCAGCCCACAGAACCTCCTTCTATGCAAAGGGCCATAGTGTTGATCAACTATTTCCAGGTTATTATGATGGGGTAAAAGTTGCCCCAGCTCCCATGTTTCTGGCCACAGGTTTCCTCTCTGCTTATCCAAGATCTCGATTTCAAGATTGGGCCAAAGTGCTCAAGAATGCCCTTCAGCAAGTTTCCCATACCTCAGTTTATTCTCTGAGTTGAGGGTTAACACCTGCCCTTCCTACTTTCGATTCAACAAATATTTAAATACTTCCTCCATATAAGATACTCAGAGAATCAATGCGTATAAGCCCCAATCCCTGACTAAGAACTCTATCCTACGACTCATCAATAGGGACCCTTCACATGCTGGAGGGAAGAATAATTACTTTGAACAAAATGACTTGAGGAGGATCTCAGAGAGGGCGATGCTGGAGACGAAGCATTTTGGAGGGATTTTGAAAGGTCGAGAATTGTACGGAAAAGCCTTCTGAGAGGATGCTAGCATGGCAGATGCACAGAGGCAAGAAGGTGCCTCCAAGGGCTCACGAACTACAAGCTGGGCTGTGTGGCTTGCATGGAGACGTCAAGAAGCATTTCCCAGAAGCCCAGCTTAGGACTGTATCATGAAGTCTTAAAACTGTGTCGAGGGGTCTGGACTGGACTGTAGGTGCTAGGGAAGATCTGGAAGGGAGCGATAGAAGCCAGTCTGTGCCCAGGTAGGTAACTCTGGTACTTCTGGAAAGAAGGGAGGCAGGCAGGCCAGTCAAGCTGTTGGCCACAAGCCAGCGAGGAAGGATTTCAAACTCTGTCCTCGGGCAGTGGCCAGGCAAAGGAGGGACAGAGGGAAAAAGGAGGAACTCGAGGCCACACCCACGGGAGGACAGTAGGATGCTGTAACATGCTGAGTGGTAAAGAAGAGGACTCCTGGGGGAGGGAGGCTGACAAGCTGGCCACTGAGCTGCGGAGCGTGAGGAGCCAATGGGGCAGTTCAGTCTAGGAGGTAAGATACTGGTATGTTCACTTAGGAGCCAGGACAGGATGTAGATTTTTAAGAATCATCAACATAAAGGGAATATTTAAACCAGAGAGTAGATCCCTTAGCTTGTTATTATCAGCTGTGATAACAGATGTGAAGGTACCTCTTAAACTGTCAGGAACCATACAATATCCATGAATTATATCCCTGCTCTCTCTCACCATGGCTGCACCTGAAGGCGGGGGCGGGGGGGGGGGGCAGTCCTCAAGCTGGTTGCATGTAAGAATCCTCTGGGAAGCTTTTAAAATCCTGGCACCCAGGGCGCCTGGGTGGCTCAGTCGGTTAAGCGTCTGAGTCTTGATTTCGGCTCGGGTCATGATCTCAGGGTTGTGGGATCGAGCCCGGCACCTGGCTCCGCGCTCAGCCTGGAGTCGGCTTGTCTCTCTACTCCTCCCCCTGCTTATGCTCGCTTGCTCTCTCTTTCTCAATAAATAAAATGCCGACACCCAGCGAAACCAGAACCTTGGTGGGTACAACCCTGGCATCGATCTTCTGAAAGCCACCAGTACTGTCCAAAGTGGAGCCAGGGATGAGGACCACTGGCTAAGCAAGTCTCTTTGGTCCGGAGCAACTTACACTCAGATTTGGCTACCCGAGGAACAGAACAGAATGACAATGAGGAGGGGTCAGTAAATAGAAGCATCAATTCATTCTTCTCTTCACCACACATATATGTAAGGTCTCCTACATGGTGGGGCACTGTGACTGGTATTGGGGACAGTGTCAAACAACAGTATCACGAGGTTACTACTCTGTGGTGGAAGCAGACAGACCATGTGCTGGTGATTCCCAGTGCTACTGGAGCATACAGAGAGGGGCCCAGGGTCTAGACCCAGCTAGTGGCCGGAAAAGGCTTCCCTGCGGATGCGATGCTGAGCTGAATGATGTGAAGCAGAGTTTAATAACTGGAGGGAGAAGATTATTCAAGCTGAAACCTCCAGAGAAGTCTCAGCTGCAGACAAATTGGAAATATGTAAGTTGGGCTCCCCTCTACAACCCACTGCCCCTAAATTGGGACTCTTCCCCCATTAAAATCCAGGCTTGCCCTATGTGTACTCACTTGGAAGACTGGCTCAACCTGAATCAGCCTAAGAGTGGCAGAGGTGGGTGCAGATCAGAGACAGAACTCCTAAAAAATATAGCTGAAAGTGGGGCATGGGGTAGAAGGGGAACCATAGGTGGAAGAAACTCATTTACAACCTTACTACGGGTAGTCCCTGTATTTCCTACTTGAGCTTTATTTGCTTTTATTTTTTCCAGACTCTAGAAACCTAAGGCAAATCCAAGGGATAGAAGTACATGGTGTGTAGTTGGAATCTAGGTTCAAGGTAAGTATCTTTCATTTTCTTTTGAAGATTTTATTTATTTGAGAGAGAGGGAGAGCACGAGTGGGGGGTGGGGAAAGGGAGAAGCAGACTCCCCAAGGAGCAAGGAGCCCAACTTGGGGCTCCAGGGTTCGGTCCCAGGACCCAGGGTCACGAACTGAGCCAAAGGCAGACACTTAACCCACTGAGCCACCCAGGTGCGCCAAGTACCTTTCATTTTTGAGAGCAAAGCCACTTAACCACATTTTACTCCACAAGGCAGAATCTCAGAGTGTTATATGTAGGTAGGATCTCAGAGAATCAAACCCAGAGAAAGGAAGTAAATGCTCATTCACTCAATATATATTGTCTGAGGGCTTACAATGTACCGGGGATGAGGACATAATAAACTTGACAAGGTCCTGCTCTCATGGAGCCTAAGTTGTGATGGGGTAGGATGGTAGGGGAGAGTTTGGGGGGTGGTTCCAGTCAACACAGACAAGAAAACAAACCAGATAATATACCAGCATCAGTGTCCTAAAGAACAACAAACCAGGATGAAATGACAGAACATACTGGTTGGGACGGAGAGCTAGTTTAGATTAGGGTGGTGTGGGAGGGCTTCTCTGAAAAGGTTCCTGAAAAAAGAGAACCAGTCAAGAGAAGATGGGAACGGAGTTCCAGGCAGGGGACTGGGCAAATCGAAGGTCATGAGGTGGGCATATGTAGTTGGAAAAGCATGGTGAAGACTAACCCCAAATCTCCACTTCCTGGCTCCCAGGTTTTCTCTACTTGGAGATGCTTCTGTCTCAATGTACCTAGCCATTACGTACTTCTTATGTACTATGTGATTTTTTTTTTTTTAATCAAACATGGTATGATTCAGAACCTAGGCTTTGAAGTAAGACATTCACAGGGTCAAATCCCTACTCTGCCATTTACTTCCTAGCTGTGTGGCCTGGAACAAGTTACTCAACCTCTCTGACAGTTTCTCATTTGTAAAAAAGGATTAAAAAATACCTCTTTTGTGGGGTTGCCCTGAAAAGTAAATGCGACTGTGTATGGAAAGCCCTTGACATACGGCAAGCACTCAATAAATAGCAGGTCTCCTCCCAGCAGGTCAGGGACCAGGTCTGTCTTGCTTGTCATCGTATCCCTAGTACAAAGCTCACAAAAGAAGTCACTGCTTCTGGGAAAGACTGCAGCCAGGAAGGATGGGGAGGTGAATGTTTTAACTCAGAGCCACGGACACATAGAGGCACACTGAGAGAGCCTGTATGCAGTCTTTAAAAGAAAAGCCAGGTGAGACTTTGGCCACCTGACGTCACCTCTCTCCACCATGCAGGTAAACAGACACGGTGTCCTGATTCAGTCTAATGCCAGACCTTGGAATATATACAAAGGTCAAAGATTCTGTATCTTGACATGAAGATATGAGACCTTTGTGAATGGTCAAAGAGCTGAAATCTCAATAGGGACAAGAGTGAGCCTGACAAACTCCCAACCTCTGTGCTACCTTCCTGGTCCTGCTCACGTGCTGTGCTTCGAAGTGCTCGTTAAGAGCAGCCCAACCCACTCGCTCTGCACAGGTGTCCCCAAGAAATGCATGAGCACGTGCGAGTCAAGGCAGAGACAGGCAGGCCACTTGTTTGGATTTTTCCAGTTTATTTCTAAAATGAGCTATTTCCAAGTTAAACTTACAGATGGTCACCTAATGTGGGCATTAAAAACTTTCTGTCTTATTTGAAACTCTGGAAATGTAACTGCCTCAGCTGACCAATTATGACCCCAACAGAGAATTTTTCATTTGGATATGTAGTTTTATAACCTCTCTGCAGAGTCAGACAGGAAGAGAAGACGGAACCGCCACACATTAAAACTTGGCTTATGCACTTAGAATGAAGTTTTTCTTCAGTGTAGAAATTAAGAGTATCCCTAATTTCGAAGTAAATTTATGAAGTCTAGCCAAGTGATTGAAGTATGAATAATTCTTCCATGGATTGTATTTCAAGCAACACAGCATAGAATTTACATGATAAAGTTCTTAAGCTTAGCATTCATTTGACAAGCAGTCCTTTCTATATGAATAGGAGATTGAAATCTTGGTTAGTCATCTGGAAATGCCAGGCTTCTCAGCAGGTTTAGAGAAAGCTGGAGTCAGAAGGTGAGGGAGCCCCTGGCATGGCAAGTCTTTTACATTATACTCCATACACTCCCCTGCACACCCCCATACAACCGCTTGGCCTGTGGCTTCTCCACTAAGCACGGATGCTCTGCTGAACCCCCTCTCCCAGCACCGAGGCCTCT